TTTTTTTTTTTTTTTTTTTTTCTTTTTTTGAGAAAAAAAATTTAACTTTTTATTTTTAAACTTCTTAATCTCCATCCACTCCCAATTTTTTAAATAAATTTTTTTGGTTATAGATATTAATTAATATTTAAAAATAAATAAATAAATATAAAAAAAAAATAGAACAAAGAATACCTTGAACCAACCCAAACAAGAACAACTCTCCTTATTTTTTATTAGGCTTGGCCTCGTTTTGTTTCTTTATTTTTCCTCTTGCTCTCGTTCTTGCGATAGTAAATTTTGTTCATGAATAAGGATCGTTTTTTTTTTCTTTTCTTTCGGTCTCTGAAAAGAGAATGGTATATTGTAAGCTCAGATAACATCCTCGATTGTATCGAATGTGTTCGAAGGTGTTAAGTCAATCATGAGTATACCCATAGGTGTTTTCACGAGAGAGTTTAAATTGAGAATAAGAAAAAAGACACCATAATATATTGCGAGAGAACAATTTCATTCAAGCTCAATTTTAGAGGTCGGACCGAATTTTTTAGACTTATATTTAATAAATATCAGACTTTTAAACCGATCATTAAGTTTTAATTTTAGTTCAACTATCGTTGAATTTTAAAAAATGTATAAGAAGTTATAAATTTAATATTGTGTTTAATATTAAATTTGTTTATTTATTTATTTATTATTATTATTTGTCTAATATGCCTCTTGACAATTTTTTTCTTTAATTCACAATCTTAGGGCCCCATTTTGAATTTATTCCCTTTTTACCATAAATAATAGTTTTTTTCTTTTTTTTTTTACAAAATGTTATTCGACAAAAAAAAAAAAAAAATTCACGACATTGTTATTTATTTATTTGAATGTAAAACAAAAAAAAAAAGAATCATGAACGCTTTATTTGAAATACAATGTTTCCGTAAAACAATGATTTGGCAACGAGATTAAATTATATTATATAGAATCGTGAAATAAAGAATGAGGATGAGATCAAAGAGGGTTTAGAAAAGGAATAGTATTAGTTATCTTGTTCACGAGGAGGCAACGATTCTCAAATTGATGGTGGATCCCACCAATTGATTCTATTTTTGTATTTTAATAAATTCCATTAATAAATTCTCGTTCTCTTGAAGTGAACGAGACCTAATAATTTTTTTTAGTACAACAAACAAGACCCGAGACTAAACAAGACCTGAGACTAAACAAGACCCGAGACTGAGAAAAAAAACTTTCATATATTCTTCTTCCACTAACCTTTCCAAGCAGTTTTTTCCACAAAAAAGAGCCAAAAACAGTCTTCATCCAAACAACTTTTACTTTGATTTTAAGAGCATGTGGACAAGCATTTCAAATAGTAAGTCCTCCACAATGGCACCTAAGTCCAATCATATCTTGTGCAAAATCTAAAGCCACCAAGCTAGAAAAAGGAAGGAGATGCAAATTAATGGCTGTACTATTCTCTTTTCGCCAATCTCGACCTCTAATTCGATGTTTCTTAACACATTTGTATACCTTCGACTCAATTAGACGTCAAGAGTTTTAACGAAAATCATTCGTGGGAAGATTAAATATGTTCCATATTTCATTAAATGGCTGGTTTTAAGCAAGATATGTGAGACAGAAGTTCTCAGAATGGCATACGTACCCGACTTGGTCGACATGGATCACTTGGAAGATAAGGAACAATAGTCCTCCGCTTCGATAGAGTCCTGTCACGTTTCTGATTAGATTGGACATGCTACTTAAGTACTCTTGCACATTGAATGCAGATCTAAGTTTCCGTGAGATGTTTCGAGATGGCTCGGGTCTGGATATCCCACCATTTCCTAATTCTGTAATTCCAGTAATCCATCAAGAGGGAAAGTTTTGCTAAAACCACCTAATACCTCACAAACTCGGCTAAGGACTCGGATTCTACATAGTCGTTTGCTAGCTTTATAGAAGTATCCTTATGCCCTACTTTTTCATTCAATATAATTGACCATCTCAGACAACCCAACATGTTTTAGAAAATAGGGTGAATGGGTTGTGGAAGAGAAAACCTGAAAGAGGATGTTGATGCTGCACTGGACGGAGCAGGAACCGACCCGACGTAGCTGATGATGTACACGAAAGGATGCAGATACCATCCACGATCAGCTCTTCCCATTTCTGGACTTCTTACGGACCCCTCCTCCTAATCGAACCGCGAGCATCATATAAAGAGTTGTTAGTAGCTGAAGACAGAAAGAGGCAAGTCCTCGTGCTGTATCGAACTCTTTAAAATCTTGAATAAGGAAGGAAATATGATAGAAACCAATATTCATACTGTTTTACTGATGCTTATGGAACATATATGAAAAAAATTGCATATAATTTTACACCCCAAAGGAAAATGAGCGTTAACAAATCTCATATCAGATGATGAGAAGATGAATGGCAGCTGAAAATGATTACATTTAATTTGAACACTCAACAAATGAAAGCTGCGCCAACTAACAAGAGTCTAGCAAGCTAAATATGAAAAGAACCTAAGATGGTAGTAGAGAGATCTTCAAGAGCCAGCCGGGTTTTGCTTCGACAGGGAACATCGAGTTCAAACTTTTATAACACATAACTTGGACAGATTCTTTCATAGACACCTGAGGTTAAGACGTCGTTACATACACATGTAATACATTGAGTGAAAACAAACTAAACTGTGGATACTTCATTCGTATATTGTCAAGAACTAATGTAATAGTCCAAGCTCACCGCTAGTAGATATTGTCCTCTTTAGGAGAGCGAACATTGAGGAAAAACAAACTAAACTGCGGGAAATTGCTTCATCAAGATACTTCATTCATATATTGTCAAGAACTAATGTAACAGCTCAAGTCCACCGCTAGCAGATATTGTCCTCTTTAGGCTTTCCCTTTCGGACTTCCCCTCAAGGTTTGTAAAATGTGTCTGCTAGGGAGAGGTTTCCACACCCTTATAAAGAATGTTACGTTCTCCTCCCCAACCGATGTGGGATCTCACAACTAAGATCTCCAATGGCTTTGATTGCAACATATATGCATTATGCACATAAAACAGAACCATGCACCAATCAACTCAACAAGAAAATCTCAAGAACATCTGGATGATACTAATTTGCTACACACATCAACTATCTAGACGACCCTTTTCTCAAAATGCAATGCTTATTCTTGCAAGTTCTCAGAAAATGATTGTAATCAACTGAGCTGCCTACACTGCGACAATCATAAAAGATTAGAACTAAAAACATTAAGAGTTAAGTGCTCAGGATTCACCTTTCTTCTGATTAAATTCGGCGCAATTGATGTTAGAAACTGTGTCCCCTAATCCACAATCAGGAAGTTCCTTTGTTCCTCCTGTGTTTTGATTAACCGAGCACTGAAGATTTTCAAAGTCACAGCCACTGAAGCTTTGCCCGTTCAACAAAACGCTCTCTCCACTTTTTCCATCGGCCCCTGGATGAAGGCAATACGGCTGATCATTGCACTGCACATTACAGGGATTTATCATGTAACTACCAGACATATTTTGATTGGGAAGATCTGAATTGGCTGGTTTCTGATAAGGAAATGTTCCAATCTCCCCTTCAATTCTTCCTCTAATATCCACAAGCAAACATTTGAGCCTCGAAATCTCAGCCTCCAATGCAGCCTGACCCTGCAATCTCTTCAACAGTTGCTGATTCAAGGTCCTCAATCTCACAACTTCATCTTCCAATGATGCAGCTCTTGCCTTCTTCTTCTCACGGTATTTACGAACCGCTTCACGATTACCTAGCGGGCGTTTCTTAGTCTTCTTATCCACAGATTCCGCCGTGTCATCAGTGGAAACCTTTTCTTCGGTAGGGGAGGAAACAATTTTAGTATGAACATGAAAACATGTGTGCGTATGTGAATAATCAGGACCAGGAGGGTTGCAAGTATGAGCATGCGTGCAAGCATGAGTATCCTTAAGAATCTCATCGAAGAAGCTATCCATCGAGCAGCTACTCAGAAACTCAACGGCATTCGAACTCGAAAACACTTCAGGATTCGAGGATTCAAGCTCGCCGTCTTCCATTATAGATATCAGCCAACGCAGCTAGAAAAGCTCTAGAGAAATTTAATGGGAGGGGATAATAATGAGAATCGACTTTAAGTGATTATGAACCGAATCGAGATCCTAAACAATCAGGACAAATAGGGTTTCCGCACAATTCAATTGGCAGACAGAACCAAAAAAGAAGAAAAAAGATCAAAAAATCAAACAAGCATCACAAACGAAATTCTCTGCAAAGATATGAGGAATTTCATCCACCAACATTCAAGAAGAACACTAAATTTACCTCTACAGCAAGAAGAAAAGGCTGAGACCTCATAAAATGAACCAAAAACCTAGTGGCGAACTGCAAATCACGTTGATCGGGGAAATAAACAGATACCATCAAAAGAAGAAAATTCAATAATCGAAACCTAAACCCCAATCAAAAAATGACAACTGAACGGCAAATGATGGAAGAAATGATTCGACAATCGTAAAGAAAGCGACAGAGAATAGGATTCGAACCCTTTTAGAGAGGATGCTGGAACTTCAAACTTCGATCATGAAAAAGAAAAAAAAAAAAATAATAATTTTTACAAAGTTTTATCAAAGCGTAAAAAATCCTGACTTTCAACACCACAAAATTATAACTTTTTGGGGGCGGGAGAAAGAACATTGGCTTACGGATTCTTTATTTTTCATTTTTTATTTTCCTAATAAATAAAAAAAAATTATTAAATTGAACAACGACTTATCGTTTTGATTTTTAATAATTAAAAAAATAATTGACTTATTTAAATATATAATTAAATTTTATGTTAAATATCCAATTTTGTACATAAAATTAAAAATTCAATAATTTATTTGGCTCGAAATTAAAATTTTAAAAATTTATTAGACATTTTTTTAATTCGATATTTTAGAGTGGATTTATTCCTAATTGTTTTATTAAACAAACAAAAACATGTTTTTTTTTGTAATTATTTATTAATTTTATTAAACAAAATCTTAAATATAAAAAATTTTAAATACCATTATTAGCATTTGTTCATTTTTTTTGTCGCCTTTTATTCATTTTAATCATCATATTTTCGAAACATTAATTTTTGTATTTGTATTTTTTAAAACTAACAAATTTTTATTGATTTATTGTTTTTCCATTGTATTTCCTAAATTTCATCATTTATAATAAAAAGGGTTTGCTTTTATTTTTATTTTATTTTATTTTTTTGTCTTCAATTTCAGTTGATTTTTTAAAATTTTCAATTAAAATCTAAAAAAAGAAATACTATTTGATATGATTTATTTTATTGGTTTGACATTATGAGAGTTGACTTTTAAGTTTTTAATAGATTTTTCTATTTCTACGCGTTTTAAAATTGTGAGGTTGACGACGATACGTAATAGACAGAATAAAGAATATTTATTAGTGTAAGCTTGGACTCTTAAAAATGATATTAGAGTCATACACTATGCAGTGTACTAGCGAGGATTGTGAGATCTCGTTGTGGAAACCTCCCGATAAGGTAAAACAAATATAAAAATTAATTAATTTTATATTTATATATTTAAAAAATGGGGGAGAAGTGGGAAATTGGATAGGTTCGGAGATGAGAAATACACTTCCTATCCTCGACCCCATTTTTCTAATATGAAAAATTTCAACTCATCTACTCTCGCACGGTAAATAGTCATCGTTAATTGTTAATATAAAATGACACGAAACATAGAGATTCTTACACACGGGCATGCATACCAAATATAATTTGTCGGAACTCAAAAATATTTATACTTTAGAAACGATCCAAAATGGCAATAAATTGTAAATATGGTTCATATATGGTAGTTTAACTAGGAAAGAAATATATAAATATAACTCATCATTGACTTAATTGCCCTTCAAACCAAAAAAGAAAAGAAAAATTAAAAAAAAAAAAAAAAGGAAAAATATTTACAAGCCATTTAAGAAATCACCTCAGCAAAGGGTGCAAAAGTTTTTATACTCATTGTACAGTTTTATTCTCTAAATTTTAGCTAATTTACAGTGTATGGTGAACGGAATGACGTATTAGAAGCTCGTTAAAGCTTGAGGATCTTCTCACAACAGGTTCATGTCGCACGCCCAAAGGCACCCGACTTTGCTCCATCGTGCTGCCTTTCACCATAGGGCTTGCCCAAAGGCACCCGACTCGGCTCCATTGTCGTCGTCAAGCAATGCAAGGCTCATCAAATGCAGATCAGAGCTCGAGTTTGGATAAACTTCATCGTCTCCATTCTCGACACTTTGTGATTCCTCCATACTTACATTCATGGAATTGATTTCCCCTCTTAGAATCTTCAGTATCTGGACGAAGTGCGTTCGTAAACATATTTGACCGATTGATACAAGTATCGTGTGACGTGTTTGTGAGAACTGAGAAGATATTGTTGAGAGCAATACCTGACTAATTCTAGGACGGAGTCGGGACGCCCTCGTGATGCACAGGGTTGCTGCAAGAGCCATTCTTTGCAACTGATCGACGTCGAATTTTCGCACCAAATTTGGATCGACTAGTTCGTTTATGCTGCCACTCTCTATGATTGGCTTGGCCTGACATATCATATACATTACACTCTCTTCATTCTTGTTCATTATGAGTATCATGAAGTTAAAATTGTGAGCTATGATGAGATAGAGGTCTTACCCACATAACCAAGCTCTTTTGCTCTTTCCAAGTCTCTGCACTGATTGCTCTTCGTCCCGATAACAGTTCGAGTAGAACTATACCGAAAGCGTACACATCAATCTTATTACTCATCTTTCCATACATGAAATATTCAGGAGCAAGATATCCAAACGTTCCGACGACGTTGGCTTCGATCTGAAACGATGATTCTGTTGGTCCCCAGATTGCAAGGCCAAAATCCGATAGCTGTGGCACAGAACATCAGTTAGGATTACGAATAGACGAGAAAGAATCAACGTCGATCCGATGAGGACTTTCTAACACTACCTGTGGTTCAAGTTCATCGGTGAGCAGAATGTTTGAGGATTTGACATCTCTGTGTACAACAGGCCGAGGATATTCGTCGTGTAGGTAGCTTAGCGCCTCGGCAATACCGATAGCCAGCTTGAATCTCACCTCCCATGAAAGAATGCCTTTTTCTTGCTTTGTATCTACAATATCATAAAACTTTCTGATCAGCATACTACTCCTGAGCTGATAGTATTTCAGATTGTTCAAGAAAATATAATGTATCTAAGCCTTACCAGATAGATTTTCCTCTAAACTTCCTTGAGAAAAGAAACCATAAACAGATATCAACATATCGTCATCGACGCAGATACCGAGAAACGGAGTTATGTTCTTGTGATGTAATGAGGATATAATATCAATTTCTTGAGAAAATTCATTCCATGCCTGTTTGGAAGAGTTCATTACTTTAACTGCAATTGGCTTTCCATCTGGGAGAATTCCTTTGTATACATGATTGCAACCGCCTCTCCCAATCAGGTTTTCTGTACAGAAAACACAAATTTATGAGTCGAACGACGAGAGAACGGATTCAAACATCAATTTAAAGCGAGGATTAACTCGAAAACCTGAAGAGAAATGAGAAGTTGACGCTTTCAAGACATCAGGACTAAACCATTTATAAGAAGATGAGTTAGTTTTCAGGATATCCTCCAAGTCTTCTGGTGGTTCAGAAAAGTCAGATAAAATTCCAAGCCCTGGCTCACTTCTTGATGGATCATTTTTTTCTTTTGTGCTTAAACGACTCGGTGAGCGATCGGGTAAGTTCATCACCCATTGCACTACAGACATGTTATGTACACATGAGTTTTGTGAAATCTTTGGCGTCGTTCGAAGCAATGGCCAACCGAGCCCTGGCTCGGGATGGTCAATCTTCATTGATGTGTCTTTTTTGTTACTATTTCTTTTACTTTCAAGGATGACTCCATGATGTTCATCCTTCAAGTCTTCACTACCAATACTATAAGAAGCAGAAGTCTCAGTCTCAGAAGCATCAAAATCAGATTGACTAGCTTGACTAAAACTTGGTTTTGGGTCATGATTCAAGCCTGTCAAGTTGCAGTCAAATCCATCGACTTTAGTTTTGGCTTTCAACCAAAAAACAAAAGAACGATGAAGAAAGAAAGTCAAGCCCAAGCCTACCGCTAGCAAATATTGTCCTCTTTGAACTCTTCCTTTCGAGATTCCCCTCCAGGTTTTTAAAACGCGTCTTAAAAACCTTGAGAGAAAGCCCATAAAAGACAATATTTGCTAGCGGTGGACTTGGACGGTTACATAAATGGTCTTTTAAAGCAAGAACACCAAACCTGGTAGTTGATCATTGGTGGATCTTCTGAAGACAATTTTTCCGTTGTTGAGAGCCAAAACGTCGGTGGTTCGAGGCAGTCGCTTGACTAAGTATCTAGTTGTTGAAGACCAAACCCTGCAAATGGTTTTTGTTAAGCCCAAACCAGAAAACGAACAAAAAACTACTGCCACCAATTCAAAAAAACAGCCCCAGCACCATAGCCTCTTGCCTACCCAAGATTAAATGGCTTGCTTGTTCCCAAAACTACAGCCTCAGCAGCATAGCCTTTTGCCTGTCTGACCAGAGTCTTCCTAACCGAACTTCCGGTCGATATCTGAGCAATAAGAGCTACCTATTATCGAATTTGAAGATAATAATCAGTAACAAAAACTTCATTTCATCCTTAGAATCATCCATAAAGGGCAATGAAATCCAAACCAAACCTTGTTTACATCACAAAGGCTTTTGTATCCTTCTAAGAATTCATCAAATAAGGGCTTATCTTTTGATACACGATCTGTTTGGCAAGAGGGAAAAATCATATTTCAAAACTAAGCATTTTTTAACGGCCTAAGCCCACCGCTAACCTATATTGTCTTCTTTGGGTTTTCCCTTTCAAGCTTCCCCTCAAAGTTTTTAAAACGCGCCCTTACAAGGAACGTTTCGCTCCCCTCTCCAACCGATGTGGGATCTCACAATCCATACCCTTGGGGGCCAGCGTCCTCGTTGGCATACTACTCGGTGTCTGGCTTTGATACCGATTGTAACAGCCCAAGCTCACCGCTAACAGATATTATCCTCTTTGGGCCGAATCCCAAAAAAGGAGGACAATATCGGCTAGCGGTGGACTTGGGCTGTTATAAATGGTATCAGAGGCAGACACCAGGCGGTGTACCAGCGAAAACGCTAGGCCTCCTAAAGGGGTGGATTGTGAGATCCCACGTCAGTTGGAGAGAAGAACGAAGCATTGCTTATAAGCGTGTGGAAAACTCTCCCTACCAAACGCGTTTTAAAAACCTTGAGGGAAAGCTCAAAAGAAAAAAAACTCAAAGAGGACAATATCTACTGACGGTGGGCACGGGCGGTTACACCACGTATGTATAAAGAGTGAAACCAGAGATTGGAAAGAAAATACACCAGAAGTTTGACAAACATGGATTACAATGACACAATCCCCAGGATCAGCAACTTTAACAATCGCCCAATTGAGTACGTCTCTGCTATCGCCATTAATTCTAATCCCCACTAACACATTCTTCCTCTTCTTCTTCTTCTTTTTCTTCTTCTTCTTTTCAATAACCTCATAATCCTCCTGGTCAATTGTCATTTCGTTTCCTCCAGATTAATCTCCTATAATCTCCCAAACCCCACAGATTTTGAATCCTCTTCAATTTCCAGGGCTTCAGCAGACAACCTCTGATTGAGAGATTCCCCACTTCTCAACCCCCCCACCATTACACACACTGCAACCAAAACCCACCAGAATCGACCAACAAAGCAATCAGAAATCTTAAAACACCCACAGAAAAGAAAGAAAGCGCAGCCAGAACTCGTAGCTATGAGTATTTACAAACAAACAGCAACCCATTGACGCATCCAAAAAGCTACCATTATTTCATTTCCAACAATAATTTCAATTACAACCCTAAAACAAAGCAGAAGATAAATAGAAGCCGACAAATGGGTTGTACCTAAAACTTGTACCGATTCATCGTCCAAGCTCAGCATGATTTCAAACACCGATTTCGCCGATTAATCAGCCCGTACCCTCTAACCTACTGCGACCAACTAATACAGGGAGACGACAAACAAATTTGAAATCCAAGGAAAAGTAGGGCACAAAACTGTCGTACACGACAATAATTTCAGGTAGGACGACGCCCAGCATGAATGAAAAAAAATAGGGTTTGTGGGTTTTTATATATTTGTTCGAATCAGTTGAGGAAACAAAAATGTCGGCAAGAGAGAGAGAGAGAAAAAAATCGCAGAGAATTTCGAAGGAATTGAAAGAGACGATTAGGTTTAAAGAAGATTGATTACTTGATTCCTTCAAATCTTTTCCTTTTCCTTTTTCTTTTTCTTTTTAATGACAGTTAAGAGGGAAACCGGAAGTTTTCGCGGGAAACCTATGGTATCCGGTCGGTTTGCGTGGTCCGCCATGAGCGGACTCCACGTTCTCACCGGCTATTGCGGGTTGTCATACTTGACCGTTGTCCGACGTGTCAACAAGATCATGTTTTTATTTATTTATTTATTAAAAATTAAATTCCTATAATTTTAAATATTAAATTTGATTCTTATACTATGATAAAAAAAATAAAATTAAAAATTAAAATACTTCCTATGATAGTGACTATTTATTAAATTTTTTATTAGATCATAAGAATTTAATTATTTTAATAATTTTTTTAGATATAATAAATAAAGACTGAAAAAAAGATAGTCAAAATTGTTAAATACAACTAAAAAAAATGAAATAAATTTTTATCATTATTGGGACGTGTTGTTTTTAGTTGAACCTAACACTTTCGTCCGAATATCTGTTATCGAAAAATTTTGTAATTACCATATTTTCAAAAAGTTCTCGTATTTATTTTCCTTCATAAAAGCACGACTTTTTTTTATTGAAAAATATTATTGAAATTAATAGTATTGATAATGAATGATTCTATGAATGTATGGACGTTTCGACTTATATTTAGATTGACGATGAATATTTAACAAAAGGGTATAATTTCACACGCTTTAAATTAGCTAAAAAGCTTAAGTTTTACTCAACGACTCATCATTGAGCTAGGAAATTTAATGAATAAATGTAGACTTTATTCAAATAATTGACTGAAAAAATTTATTTTTTTTCGTCAAATAATAACAAAATATTTCTATAAAAAAAAAAAAAAAATCCCGTCTCATTTTATGTTTAAAAAAATAAGAACGTGAAATTACACCATTGCCCTTAAAGAAAAGAATAGATACCCTAATTTATGTTTGATATTAAAAATAAATTAAAAAATAATGCATAAATTCATACAAAAAGAAATAAATATTGGAATTGTTTTATTATTTTTTATTTAAGAAATTTCTTTTAATGGAAATATCTCAAAATTGAAGGCTTTATGTTTGGAAAATCTTTGTGGGGGAAGCAAATTTGTGTTAGGTCAATTTAGTGACCTACATATTTAAAAATAAATCTTTTTTTCTAGACAAGAAATAATAATAATAATAAATAAATAAATAAATAAATAAATAAATAAAGAGGGAGGCAGATATAAGCATGAAATGCTACCCACTCTTTAATTATTAAATTATGGGTCCCACAAGAGTGATGAAAATATAAGATCCCATATCCCACAAATTCTTCTAAATAATTTCAATATTAATTACGTGAGGAAAAATAAATAATATCATATACTAATTATGTAACAATATAGAAACTCCAATCAAATAATAATTACATTAATCTATTCATTTTCAACTATCGTCGTTGGATTTTCGTTCCGAGGAGGGATGGTTTAGTCATTCCAAAAAATGTTAATTAAATTTTTGGTTTACTCGTTCAATGATATCTAAACCGACTAAAAAAATTAGACCACAAAAAATTTAGTGACTAAAATGATAAGCTCAAAAAATGCTTGATTTTGAAAAAAAAAATAATAAATAAATAACTTAACGAATGATTCCGTCCGTTAGAAGAACAAATAACTCTTAGATTGAACTTGGAATCTATGATGGTCACTCTTAAATACTAAGATGACTTATCATGACTAATCCAATGAATCGATTTTATCATCAAATCTAAAGCAAAGTTTGAAAAAAACATAACACCCAAAGGGTTTCAAAAACATGGAAGCGATAGACGAATTCTAGGTTAAATTACAATTTAGTCCCTATGATTTAGAGGAAGTTAGGTTAAATTACAACTTAGTCCCTATGGAGGAAGTTAGAATTTCAGAATTTAAATTGTGATTGATCCTGTGTTTTATGAAATTGGGTTAGTATTTAATAAAAAATATATATATATATGTGGAAGCAACGGGTTCTAGGTTAAATTACCTTTTAGTCCCTATAGTTTAGAGAAAGTTCGAATTTCGTACTTATAGTTTAATAAAACTTTATAAATAGTCTCTTAAGGGACTCATTCTAACATGTTAGACCCGAGGCTAAATTTTAACTTTATCAAAACTATAGGGACCAATTTGTAAACGGGATAATATCATACGACATAAATACGAAGTGCTCGAAAATCAGTTCATATTACAAGCCTATAATATATTGTTCAGTCAACATTAATCCAAAGCCAGAAAAACCAAAGTTTCTAAATGTCAATCAATGGAAAGCTTTCTAACCAGCACAGCTGGTAGACGAAAAGCGTCCAAGAACATTACAATATATCGAAGCAGGACGACATACAGTGTCGAGCTACACGATACTAACTCGAGAATCAGTTTCATAGACGATATCTAAACTCGAACATATACTATCAGCACGCATATTACAAACAGATGAATTCATAACACTTTTTACAAATCATAGCACAGACGATGAGATTTGCTGCTCGCTCGATCGCGGGGTTGCGTCAAGGACGATTTGAAAATATAACTCATATATATAGTGATAGTTAGGGGCTAAATGATGAGTAGTAGCTTACTAATACGTCTTCGAGTTCTAACCGGTTGTGATACGAACGACTAATTTTGCATCATAATATAGAACACGACTTCTGTGCCTTTCGCTTCTTTCGCTTCTTCCGCTTTGGAGGCTGGAGAACCACTTTGATCGCTGCATCGAACACGGCTTTCACATTCTGCATTTGGATCAAAGACTTGTTAAAAAGTGAGGAACTGGAGGAAGTACAGCAAGAAGAAGGTGGTTTTTTCATACTTGCTGTGTTTTCGAACTGCATTCGATGTAAACTGGGGCACCGATTAGTTTTCTGAGTTCCTCCCCCTGCAAGAAGCGTTCAAATCGAACCGTTGATGATGAACAAAACTACAACAATATCGAACTCGTAAATACAGGGCGACGTAGAAGGATACCTGGGACGTGGTAATGGGGACTACCCCCGGGTGTTCGATCAGGTACTGTTTATCTTCTCGAAGATCTACAGGAAGCAAGTTGATGCCCATGATTAACGATAATCCCACATCGAGAGCACACGATAATATAATATTTATCAAAAGCATTAGTTTTCAAGGAGAGGTAATGTAACAACCTAAGCTCACCGCTAGCAGATATTATTGTTCATTTTGGCCCGTTACGTATTGCCGTCAGCCTCATAGTTTCTAAAACGCGTCGGCTAGGGAGAGGTTTCCACACCCTTATAAAGAATGTTTCGTTCTCCTCTTCAACTGCTATGGAATCTCACAATCCACCCCCATTGGTGGCCCAGCCCAGCGTCCTTGCTACCACACTGCTAGGTACCTGACTCTAATACCATTTGTAATAGCTCAAGCCAACCGCTAGCAGATATTATGCGCTTTGGCTCGTTACGTACCACCGTCAGCCTCACGATTCTAAAATCATCGGCTAGGGAGAGGTTTCCACACCCTTATAAGGAATGTTTCATTCTCCTCTCCAATCGATGTGGGACCTCATAATCCACCCCCTATGGAGGCCCAACGTCCTCGCTGGCACACCGCTCAATGTCTGGCTCTGATACCATTTGTAACAATCCAAGCCCACCGCTAGTAGATATTGTCCGTTTTGGCCTGTTACGTATCGTCGTCAGCCTCACGGTTTCAAAATGCGTCTGTAAGGAGAGGTTTCCACACCCTTATAAGGGATGTTTAGTTCTCCTCTCCAACTGACGTGGGATCTCACAGGACTTCTACCAGTTCTATGGTCTTTTATGGGACAAGCTAGTTTATCAATACCCAAGAAGCCAAATACAGAACAATCATCACATTTTTGTTACAATACGAGTTGCTCGAGTAAAAGAAACAGTATCGACTACACACGAGATCTTTGTTTCATGTAGTTCATCATGGTAAGTTACTTGTATTTAGAAACAATCATCAGCAAACGAACGAACAGAACGAGAAAATTGTTTCAAATCGAACACTAAAAGAGAAAACTAGAAAGATAGTAAAGAATATAACCAAGCTTAGTCCCAACAAGAATAACTGGTACACCAGGAGCATAGTGCCTCAGTTCAGGAATCCACTGTCATTGGAAAGAAGAGTATTAGCTAAGAGACGTTTAAATGAAAAGACCGAGACGAAGATAACGCAACGCAGAGCCTTACTTTCTTAGCCACATTTTCATAGCTAGCCTTGCTTATGAGCGAGAACGCTAAGAGAAATACATCGGCTCCACGGTAGCTCAACGGTCTCAACCTATTGTAATCTTCCTGGCCTGGTTCATGACTCATACACATCAGACTTTCAGCAAGAAAACATGTTATGTAAAGACTTGTTTTGAACATACCAGCAGTATCCCACAAGCCCAGGTTGACAGTACTGCCATCCACAACTACATTTGCACTAAAATTGTCGAAAACGGTCGGCACGTAATCCTGTTTCAGATTATACACCGTCATCGTAGATAGATAACAATTTCACAGAACATAAGAATCATTCTTGGTTACAGTCTACCAATCAAGACACCATATTGAACAAATTATGAAATGGAAGACAGATAAATCATTAAGATTTCTAGATAGCGAAAGTTTTCCCCGAATCACGCACACACGCAAGCACGGATGGAGATCTGATACCATGCTAGAATAGAGTTGCATGGAGGCTATGCTTACAGCTGAAAAGTACACTAAGAACACCAAAATGTTTGGATGGCCTCACTCAAAGAGGCAAACAATTGGTCATAAAGAGCCTGAAATTGATAAACACACGAAAACAAAACCACATTCCATCCCATTTTTTGATGAATTTAGAAGTTTCCTCATGTGGGAATCTTCCTGCAAGAACTAATAAACTGAAAAGAGCCTGAAATTGCTTGAAAACCCCTTAAAACTCCAAGAGATTCATGCTCCAACAAACATGTAGATGGGAAGTTTCTTTGCTTAAGACACGAAAAACAACAACAGAATTACAATAGATTTGTTCATCAAATGAAAATTCACTTAAAAAAAACCAAGAATCCTAACATGGAGGAGACTAGAATAGGGTTCACTGAAACAAAAAGCAAAAAGCACAAAAACCCAGAAAAGAAACATGCATTATCAGCAGAAAAAGTGCAGAAATGGAGTCCATTAGTCACAAACTTCTCAGAAACCAAACAAGAACAAGAACAAGAACAAGAACAAGAACAGAAGGGTTAAATTAAAGATGAAGTAGCTCACGGTGGGGAAAGTGTTGCTGGTGTAGGAGATAAGCATACAAGTCTTCCCAACAGCACCATCGCCAACGGTAACACACTTAATAAACCTGGAAACACTCATTTCCTCCTTGGGAGCTGAGAATCAGCAACACCCAGAGAAAAAGAGATAACAATGGAGTTGACCCACAAATCCAGGGAGAATTAGAAGGGGCCACACAGAAAGGGGAAATTGTATGAGGGCGTGGAAGAGAGAAGGAGAGTCACAAAGACAAGGCAACTGGGTCTATAAAGAGGGGGAGGCCAGCTCTTGGCCAGCTATGGCAGACTAAAAATCACGGCCTCAAAATTGAAATTGAAAGCACCCTTTCATCTCTACCGTATTGGGTTTGGAAGGGAATTGGGAAATTTTTTGCCGATCAATCGATGTTGATGTCAAACTTGTCGCTCTCACTCGTCTCTTCTTCACCGCTCTCTCTCTGCCTCACACCCACTTTTGGGTAACTTTTTTTATTCACAATTCTCAATCCCATCTTTAAAGAAAGGCACTCTCTCTTTGGTTGTTATTTTCTTCTTTTTGAAGGAAAACACGGGCCGCAACCAAACATTTTGTTTTTGTATGAAAATGTGGAGCTTTTGCTTTCAATTTGTGAAATTATTTTAGAATTCAAACAAACAAAAAAAAAAAAGGCATCTACGCAATACATGTAAAGTATGGTCTACTTTGATTTAATTTAAACCAACAATAGGATGATTAATAGAAAAGCTATGTAAAGAAGACAATGTGCACTCCATTGTTTACCAAACAAAGATACGAATGTTTTTAATGAGTTTTTAAAGTAGAGTGGATTTTGTATTTGAAGTGAAATTTTTTACAAATGTTCGGCAAGACAAAAGAAAGCATTAATCTACTTAAATCTCAAAACTTACCCCTTCTCGAGCATAATAAACAAGACTAACAATGCAATTGAGCCTTAGTCAACTCACGGGTCAACCAATCATGACCCATAAACCAACCATGGATCGCCAAATAGTCTTCAACCTACTCTTCCTCATTCTGAAATTTCAAATCTCAAACATTTTCGGAGATTACTCAATTAGCTAGATTCATCAATTGTCGTAAGAAAGTGAGTTTTAACGATAAAACAATTTATCCATGAAAAAAAATCATTTTATCAAAAAAAAAAAAAAGAATAGTTAAATTAGTGAAATGAGAAAGGTAAATCATATAAAGCATTAAGAACCTACAAAATCCATGAAATAAGTTATTATATCATTTAATCAAATTTTACTCCCATGTTTTAAATAATGAAGAGAAGTGGATAGGTGAATAACAACACTCGAAACACTCCCTCTCCTTGAAGCAACATATTAGATCTTTTTAACTCGACTATTTCACTTTAATTTTATCTTTGTCCAATCACCCACCCAATATACGATTGAAAAGTTTGGACGTGTGTAATCAAAAAATAAGGAGATTCTAGAAATCCCTGGACAAAAAAATGGTAAGGCTAACACATTCATAATCTAACGTAAACAAAGACACATCGAATATGAATATTATATAAGTTCAAAATTATAATCCAAAGCCTAATCCATGAATGAAACAGCAGTTTAAGTTTGGTGAACTAGACTCATATCACCCATCGCATTCTAAGAGGTGTCATAGTACCCACCAAATCCTTAAACAAAATGGTGGTGGTTGTCTCTTTAGTGGTTAACGGTGGTTGTAGCTTTACTCTTTATCATTCCTGCTTTCCTCTCTCACACATTTCTCAAGTTTGTTATCTCGTGGAATATTAAAAAGAAAAATCCTCCAAGTCGAGTCAATTTGTTGACACCAACGGTTTCTTGGCTAACAATCATAACCTAACATTGTCCAAACCAAATAATGTGCCAACAACTGACACTACCAGAGCTAGAAACCTAATCACCAAATTTCAAGATTCCTCTCTACCTTTACACTAAACAACCATGCTTAAAATCTCATACCAGTAAATATATCAATTAAATTCTAATCTTTTCTAAGAAAATCAATTCAATCAACTGACACTATATAAACAGTTTGAGAGTTCGTTTTAAATCTGTTAGATCTCACGTCGGTTGGAGAGGAGAACGAAACATTCTTTATAAGGTGTGGAAACATCTTCCTAACAGACACGTTTTAAAAATTTTGAAGAGAAGCTCGAAAGGGGAATCAGAAAAAAGACAATATCTACTAGTAACTTGAACTGTTACAAAATCATTTTTAAGTGAACTAGATAGGCCTGTAAATAGTAATTCCACCCGAAGAGTTAGATATATTTTCAAGGGAGATTTCAGATCCTTTTGAGAAAATCTATAAAACAGTTTCAAGAACTGTCGTGTTCGATTTCCTAACCAGGCCAGGCTATTTAACATTGTAAAACATGGGAGGAACGAATATTAAAAAGAGATGGGTAGCACATCACCTAACCCCATGTGCATGGATGACCATTTCTCCCCCATATCTCACTGCCCTCTCGTGTCATTTGACAATTGGCTTTGTGCCCAGCCGTCTGCACGAAGCTCGGTAAAACCATAAGCTTATTAATTAAAGGAAACAAAAAGAAGCGATAGAAGTTTCTGCCATTTTAAAATAAGTAGAACTTCTATTGTTGCTCCAGTAGTCCAGGAATCAATTCAACGTCTGTTCTCGCTTCTCTTGCTTTGATTTCTGAAATCACAGTGAGCCATGAGTATTAATTAGTCTCCATACTTCTAGAGCCTTGCTTGTATTCTTCTTTTAAACCAATTCCATCATCTTGTATCATAGGGTATAATGTCGATATCATCATCTGAACTAACATAACCCAGCTTGATCATTATTCCTGGTCAGTTTTTTCTTCTGGGATCTGGTTGTTGATTTTCACCTTCCGGATCCAGTTTCATGGTAGATGATTTCCTGAAAGATAACTTACAGATCTGTAATGGCGTAGAAAGATGGCAACAGAAAACAACAAAGTGCTGGATAGAATCTTACAAAATTGACGTCTTCCCTGAACTGATACTCCCCTGACTTTGTCTGGCTGATTCATTATTTACTCTTTTATTACTCAATTTCCCTGTAATTGGAAAAAATGTCGAGATAAGTTTCATGAATTTTTCAGAGCATGCACGTAGAGATTGTGATCTCTAACCTTCTCAGCAAGGAATCTTTTCCCCTGCGAGTGTGCATTGGTGGTCACTTTATCAGTATTGCTGTTCACAGGGACAGAGTAAGTCAGCCGAAAGCAAGAACACAACAAAAATAACTGATACTCCTTATGCAGACAAGAATCCGTCTTAGTTTGTCCATTTGCAGAATAAAAATATTTTGAATATGAAAAACTCACACTAAAATGGAGTAAAATGGCTTGTGACTTAATACCAAGTGAACCCACGAGAAGATAGTCTACAGATGAATGACCACACTCATTTTCGTTTCATTCATAAATGGCTTGTTTCAATTGGATCAAAAGAAAGATGAAAATGCAGTACACTTCTTTTTTAGAATACTACATTACAAATAATAAAAAGGAAATTCGAACTGACCACCAATTAAAATTCACAATAATGACTAAGTTTCTAAAATAAAATAAACTTGAAGCACATGATTCTTTCCCTCTATTCACAATAATGACTAAGTTTCAATTCGCCTGTAGTAATACAATACTCATCAGAATACTTCCAAAATATGAATTGGAAAAACAAAATATATGAAAACCAGCTACATTGGAGAAAAATAATATATATTAATTCAGGGAAGAACAATACAATAAAAAAAAATTAAACTAACAAAACTATGCTTGCGTGTTTGGATTTGTAAACAAGAATGCCTACATAAGATGATTGGCTCCACATATAGTGAAAAAAGGAGAACTTTCAAAATGAACTATTAGAAGAATATTCACTTTATGGAGTGAGAATTTTTTTATGAGAAACATCAAGGGAGTATATTCCACTAAAGAAACAGGGACAACCTTAGGACAAAAGAAACAGGAACAACCTAAGGGCCAGGGTAGAGAGCATCCCCCAAAAAAACTACACCAAAAGAATCTGCCAGTCCCTAATAATACACCACCTTGCGAATCATATTTTAACACCAGTCGATGAATAATGAAACTGAAGAAATAGGCAGTCCACATCGACTTAGGCAAGTTGGACCAGGTATTTTGCAATGAGTCCATAGTCTTATTTATCCAGCAGACAGCAGTTTATATTACTAGTATCTATGATATTGGGTTTAATAAATTTTATCACAAAAATAACGATGGTCATGTCAAAAGAAAATCTAGGAAGTAAACCACATTCAACATATGCATTATAAGGTTTGTACTATTAAATTAATATCTTTCGGCTGTACCGGAATAGCTCCTTGATTATAAGATTTGGCTGATAACTTTTCTTAAAATATAATGATGAGTATTCCAGCCAAAGGATTTATCCAACAATGAATTGATTGTCCCATTTATCAAGAAACGGAAAAGACCATACCCGATGGGCTTGTTAAATGTATAAAGTTGTTGACACCTTAGTTAAATTATACAATTAATAGTAGAAAAGCTCAGTCAAACGAACCCCAACATTGTCTTGAAATTTCTTTGGCCCATAGAAAGACTAGCATCAAAATGGAAAATGAGGCAAAGAGCTCATGTCCACACATGTAACTCTTTTGCAACTGAATTCGTACGCAAGAAGAGCTATAATATAAGGTAAGTTCAAATTTCTCATGACAAACCTATTTATTACATTAAAAGGTATTGTTTATAATGTAGCCATAAAAACTATTTAAATCAATAATTAAGTTGTTTGTCCTTCCAAACTAAGTCATAAATCTTGTTACTGGTATTTATATTTATATTGGAGTTAGTTGATGTGTATATATTTATAAAAGGTACCTGAGGTATCGATGGATATTTCATCTTTCACTCGTACAGAGTTTTATGAGTTTTGTTTCATAAAAGGCACATGCCACCAGATTATAAAGCAAAATACATCTTGATAATGCTACAAAAATGCAAAGTATTTAGTGATAAAGTTAACGCTTTGAAAAAATCAGTCAACTAATTTTCTTTGAAAAATGTATAACATGTTCACATTGTTATATTAACCAGTTGATCTCTTCAAGGTTGATGGTGTTCAAGTTAAGATTAAACAGAATTAGATCGCATCAATCTTCTAATAGAAATCACAGTGCATTCTTTTATCTCACATGAGGAAAAATACAATAGCTAATCTAAAATAGAGCATGTGTATCATTCTCCTAGATGCAAAGCAATTAACGCCTACAAGTATAAAGGATGTGAAGTGAAATTATATGGTAGACAAACTAACAAAGCGAATGCTAGAAAAACGATGGCGAAGCTCTACAGGTTCTGCCAGTTAAAAAAAGGAAAAAAGAACGTCTAGAAAATTACTCTATCAGTCCATGCTAGACAGATTTCTAGATGTTATCTCCACTAGTTCTATCCTCGGTAAGGTTATCCATAATGCTAAAAAGGAAAAATCTTTCTGGTATACATCTACCATGAGTAATTGCACATCTTTCCTAACAATCGTGTTATAAGTTTCCTGAAACTTGTATATTATACAGAAACTGATCTGGACTATAATTCCAAATATGATTTGAGATCGCTCCTCTAAAATTTTTCCAGTAAGAAATCAGGAACACAGTAACGAAATAGCATGAAAAATCAGAGCACATGAAGTTTTACAATGCAAATCACCACACACTGTACCTCTCGCAGACCAGAGAACTTCTCGTCTGTAACATCATTAAAGACCTTTGACCGGTTAGTTTTTCCACTTCTTTAAGTTGGTGATGACAATATGAAAACTGAAGTGCGACTAATCCGCATAGTCGATAAAGTTACCATCGTACCTGAGGAAGGAAGCGGAGGTTCCAGGAGGAGTTTCAACAACTTTATCTTGAAGAGTAAAGGAGAAGATCGAGATCGCCATCTTCGTTGGCCATAGCTTGCGGCTCTTGCTCGTCTGTTGGAAATTGGAATGCAGAATCGCTCGGAATGCCATGGACGGGAAATTAAAGTTTTGGAGGGAACGGCGAATATAGGTCCGCAACGTCTCGTCTCTTTAAATATAATAAGGAGAAGAAAGGCTTAAATCAACATTTTAGCTTCATGTCATTGATTATTATTATTATTATTATTCTTTTAAATGAAGTAATATTCTTCCAATTTAAAAAAATATTTGAACTTTAAAACACGTTTTGAAAATATTTAAATCTTTATCTGTATGCATTTTTTTTTTTTTTGTGAAAACATATTTAGGTTACCTAATAAAAATTTAATAAAAAATAAATGAAAAAAAATCAAATTTGAGATATTACCATTTGTATTAGAACCGGTCATGGGGTGGTGTGGCAATGAGGGCCCATAAGGAGGAAATGAATATTTTTTTTCATTTTAAAAGGGTAAGCCCAAATTTGAGATATTACGATTTGTACGAGAACTAGTCACTGCGTGATGCCCCTAAGAGGGTGGAACTTGAGGTGGTGTGGCCCCTAAGAGGGTGGAACTTGAGGTGGTGTGGCGAGGGTCCTAAGGAGAGTGGAACTTACAAATGGTATTAGAGCCGGTCACTAGTGGTGTGGCAATGAGGACCCTTAAGGAGGGTGGAACTTGAGATATTACAAATGATATCAGAGTCAGTCATCGAGCGGTGTAGCAAAGGATCCTAAGAGGGTGAAACTTGGCTATTACAAATAGTATCAGAGCCACGACTTGATGGTGTGGGGTATCAAAGCCAGTCACGGGGTGGTATGGCAGTGAGGACCCCTAAGGAGGGTGAAATTTAGCTATTACAAACAGTATTAAAGCTAGTCACGGAGTGGTGTAGCAATGAGGGCCCAAGGGTGAAACTTGAGATATTACAAATGAGTGCCCCTAAGGAGGGTGGAACTGGAGCTATTACAAATGGTTTCAGAGCCAGTCATTAAGTAGAATGTGTGGCAATGAGGACGGAATATAAGATAATAAGATCGCACATCAAACAGAAGGGAAGAACAAAATACATTAATTATGAGTTTGATTTTTGAACTACCAACCCTCCTTGGGCGAGCCTTAGAAAGACAATAGAAAGGAAGGAAAAAACAGAGGTGCATAAAACAACAAGCATGCCTGTAAAGATAAGGCGGCTCAGGCCATGTGATACAACACATGGCAGTGTGTTGTAGCCTACTGTTTTGAAGTGAGAAGCAAAAAGAATGCAATGAATATTGAATTTTGATTATTTCCCCTTCCAATCATATTTTATGAGATGCATGTTTACAGCCAATATAACCAAACACCACCACCGCCGCCGCCGCCGACGCCGCCACCACCACCACCACCACCACCCAGGTGAAGAGGGAATCCAACAGTTCCTACTTATTTACATAATATCCTAAAACTTGGAACTGACACAAAAAGTAGTTCAAAAACTCCCTCTACCTTGTTTTCCTGAAAATCTGGCCAATTGCTCCCACCCCCTATGAAAGAGAGCACAATAAACAACACAATGGTCAAAATATGAATGTACAACTCCAAAAGCAAAGGAAAAGAAGAACTGCTCTCTCTTGACGCCCGCTGCCAAAACTATTGCAGACAAACACAATCCGTTGGCCCGAGTATTCCATGTTAATAGTATACACAAGTTGTGGTTAGTCCCAAGAACTCATGACAAATCGAAAGATCCCTGCCCCTCGTTGATCGCATAGATTAGTTTCTTGTACATTATTTCCTGTTCACATACAACACCAATCATTCATTCACAAACCACGTTGGAGTAAACTACGCTTTAAAACGTTCTCATCGTCAATTAAAGTAGTACCTTGGTTGAATACGGAGGAAGCTTAAGGTAATTGGCGCACGTCATAACACTAGGCAAATCGTCATCTGCTGATTCGGAAGCCCCTACCCCGCTGGTGGCTGCATTAGTCGCTGTTGACGAGTGCTGCAAAGATAAAAGTGAATAAAAGCTAAGACTCGTTGATTCAACGTTGAACAAGTAAAGCAAATTCATCATTACGAGCTTCTAAAACACACACAAGCCACAACCAAGCCAACAGTGTTCAGAAACTTGAAAGACATTTCTGTGAATATAATATCAAGTATAAACTATTCCTTCATACAAACCTTTCTCACAATAGTCAATTTTGGGTTCAACACTGCAAGGCCTCCTGGTGGAAGTCTAGGTGCACCTGTTACAAACTGGCAGAAAGCTCGCTGCTGCTCTGGTGTGAATTCGCCCATAATCTCGAGAAACTAAGAACGCCATAACAGAATATATGAGCACCACGCATCAATAAATCATGCTATTCTGAAGTTATGGAAAAAAGAACTCACATTGACTATTGCAGGACTCTTGGCGGTGTATCCGTGATCGAATTTAATATGATCGGCAAGAGTGTCAGCCTAAAAAAAACACGACCTAATATTACTATTGTTTTGATAAGGCAATTTACAACAAAATAACCTAAGAACTCCAAAACCAGTTTTTTAGTAGTAGGTCGGTCTAACATGAAAATTTTGCAGTTTACCTTCCACAATTCTCTACGACCACATAGCAAATGGTCCAACTCGTGGGGAATAAATATGCGTAATGCCGATATGTCAAAAACCTGTATTTCAAACATCAAGAATCAAAAATAGGGAAAGGACGAAGACAACACATGCACATTTAAAGATGGGGGAAAAGAAAAAATATGCAGAAGCTGTAGTTTATATATTAATATGCAAGTTCAGAACTCCCAATTCCCGTTGATCAATGATTAAAAACATTGAGCGTCCATCACTGGTTTGAATCCCGCACCCAAGTTGCTTTGTCAAAAACATAATAAAAAGCTATATCGAGACCAATAATAAAGCATATCAAGACCAATGTCACAAATTACAAATGATAAATAACGACAATATTTTTCCCAGTGAATACAGTACCATAGGCAACAAAAGAGCGCTCGAAGCCTATATTCAGAAAGCTAAAAATTAGAATTAGTATATGAACATAGATCAATAAATCATAAGGGGAGACGCGATTGATTAATCAGTGGAAGGTTGGAAAAGCAATAAAAATTGACGCCAAGAAAGTTATAATGTCATACTATAGTCCACAAATGCACAAAGCATGCAATTCATCATCTATTTACTGTGGAATCCCCCAATTCGGTAGGTTTGTTGAGACCAATACGAGACTTCACAACATCGTAGTTTGAAGACTAGAGAGATATTTCTACCTCGGTAAGTGTCTTAAAGGTCGTTTAATAGCCCATCTTAATGGAACTTTACAATACCACATTAAAGAAAAAAATATCATTGGTAGAGTTACCTGATTGAATCCTGCAGTAAATGCTTCCATTTGTCGCATTATGCCAGTCTTAACAGTGGCATCTAATACAAGGGATATGTACTCCTCCAAGTTGTGAATATTAACCTGAAAATGTATCTAATGTTAAAAAGTCTATTTAACCATGACAATGGGAGATGGATAACTATAGTTTTTATAATATACAGTTTCATCTCCTGGCTTCAAAACATAGTCCGGATAACCAGGTAGTGTAAAATCCAAGGAGAGATCTTCTACTGCAACCCCGCGGAAGGACAAGTTGGAAATTGTATTTTCATTATCACCGTTCGTCGATTCTAAAAGATGTTTCCGACGAACAAGAGCCTGCAATTCTTGTAAATTCTTCCCTAGCTCAGCGTCAAATGAGAGGACATCATGTAAATCAAGATCCTGAAAATTAAAATTTGCTTAAAATTAATAAATAAGCAAAATTTAAGAACGAAAAAAGAAAGGCATATCATGCAACTGACTTACTTGACCAAGAACAAGCTTATAAAATGCTGTTGAGAGTGGTAGATCCAATAGTCTTCCATCTTGCAGACCTTTCGCCATCGCACGACCAACAAGCCGGAAATATTCAATAACCTTCGAAAATTGGCTGCCCTCGGAAGAATTGGCATTTGGTGGCCAAGGTCGTGGGAATAACCCAAGAGGAGATTGGATGATATCAATATTGGCATCTTTAGCCTTTCCAAGCTGCTCATCTTCACTACTTTCGATCGACTCTTGTAAAGAATTAGACCTCCACATCCCAAGTCCAGCCCTCTGCAACTCATGACTTAAAAGTGTGTAGAATTCAAGGGTAGGACCTAATCCAGTTCCCACTTCGCCAAAATATTCTACTTCAAGGACGGCCTTTTGGCTAGAATACATCTCCATAACTTTTGCAGCAGAATCCAATATTCGATTACGTGAGACACGAACTTTTTGGCGCTGCAATCTTCCAACCCTTACCTCTCGCTCATTTACTGTTCCTTGACCATCAGCTCCTTGTTGCTGATGTAGCCGATATAATGCACGTGACAGCCCAAATGCAGTGGAATAGAAATACTGTCGCCGGGTCTCAAAAGGAAACAAGAATGGACATGCCTTAGTCAATTGGTAACACCACGAAGGGAGGCTCCCACTGCATAATGCAAGAGCATCCTGAATTTGTCGAGCCAATTTGGGAGTAAGCTTACTATTGATGAATTCCTCATGAGGAACCTTTCCACCAATTCCACCCAACTCATTAAGTGTAGAGATCTTTCCCTCTGCAAAATGATCAGAGACTATTTGTGCCCTTAAGCGTGGAGCAAGCTGATTCAATCCCTCGAGTACACGCAGTAAAGATAATATATCATATGTAGGATTAGATTTGTCCAAATCACATGGAAGTTTTCCTTGTAAAATACTGTCTAGAAGTGACATTTGATGGAACTGAGACTCTGAAATTGAACTGGAAGTTGATACACATTTGGTAGATTTAGATTTAGAGGAGCTTGATTCCCCAGCTAAAGCCCTCTCGCATTGATTATCTGACCTCTGATATGTGATGGTATATATATCACCCCATAAACCGCTCCCATCATTAGATAAGAAGTCACTGCCAGTACCAGCAAACCTCTCATCATCATCCTCGTTCAATACAAGCTGCCGTTGAACAGCTTGATATATTGTCAAATGTCTATCAAGCTGCTTCTCACCAGAAGAAAAGACTAATTTTGGGTCATCATTGGAGCCACCAAAGAGAGGACGTCCCTGTTGATCCCGACTTCCATGGAAAGCCCTGCCATTAGCTGATCCAAGCCCAGCCATAGCAGCAGCAGCAAATGACATACCTCCCCTTGAACCCCTGACTGCAGCTGCTCTACTGCCAGAGCCAAAAGCTGAATGAATCTGGCTATCACTTGTAGCTGGACCAGCATCACCATCTTCAACTGCGTCACCCAATTTGACATCATGCACCTTTTCAGGCATACAAACAGGAAGAGAGTCTTCCTGCAGCACCTGAATTGAAAGAACCAAGAAGCATGAAGAAAAATCAGTCAAGTAGATTAACATGCAGATCTCACCTCTCTGTGAAAAGCAATAAGATTATATGAAAGAAACTTTAAAAAAAAGTGGAACATATAAAGTGATTTCTTTGCAATGTCAATGAGAAGAAGACTTATATAAACGCATCAAGTTGTGGTAAAAAAGAAAAAGAATAAAATTGTATACATCATCTTGGTCATCATCTTCATCATCAGAAATATCATCATCCTCAATCACTAAAGAATCATCAATCTGGATGGAGGACAGGTCCAGTTCTTCATCCTACGAAGTAAAAGGAACATACCATCAAAATCAGATTATCAAATTGACATGTACTAAATCTTTGTAAATGGTCCTTTTTTTTCACTTTAAGTGTGAAGGAGGAAACGAAAAGGGGATACTCCTACACGCTAAAGCTAGAGTAGTGGTGATACATCTACACACCCATGATCTAAAGCATATCACTTCTTCTTATGCAAATCATAACGTATGAAGGTGTTTGCAGCAATAGAATGTAATCGTAAACTACATCTTGGCTGTAATTCCAAAATAGTATACTTTTTAATAGAAAAAACGAATCAACAGAAAGAAGACTGCTTCAGAACCCCATTTAAATTTGTCATCTACTCCTAGACTTACTATAGTATTGTGTCATCTTTGGATTATTGATTTATATTATTCCCCCGGTTGAGAAAAAAAAAATACCTCAGAAGTGGTCTCTCCATTTGCAGGCTTCATTTGGGCATCCTTGTTCACAGCTGATCTTCTACGGGTAGAATTTCTAGTTTGTAGGCCTCTCTTCTCCTCCCAAGCAGGCTTTAGAATAGCTTTCCCCTTCCCCTTTGAAGTGTTTTTCTCCTGTGAAGATTCCTTCCCTGCTCTTTCTCCAATAGCCATCGACCATCTGTGCCTAGTAGGGTAACGGCGAGTGGTTGAACTAGGAGTTGAAGCAACAGCTCCTGTAGGGGTTGTTCCTGAATCTGAGTTTGCAGCAGATGATGCTGAAGGTTTTTGACCAGATTCACTTCTCTGAACTCTAGGCCACAGAAATTCTTCGACAGCTGCTAAACTTGCCAATGGATCAATCAGAACAATATTTGATGAATAATCACGAAGTGATTTTTCTCCTTGTGCTCGACAAAGTCGTAACTTAAATGGCTGAGATAATACACTTAGCCCAGAGGAAAGACGTGCACTACCATTGGATGATCTAGAAGAATGGCTCAAGACAACGGGAAAACGCTCCAAAGAGGACAAAGCACTCTGTAGCTTTTGAACTAAGACTGTCATAGGAGCTACTGTCCCCACATTAATGCTTGTAGGAAGGGCAACAGAAATAAATGATTTAAATCTTTTAAGTACTTGTCGCCGAAGCTTTGGCAACTCAGCTTCCGAAATTCTTCCTTTAGAGAAGTATCCGCAAGAAAAGTAGTTAAGCAGAACTCCAACAACGCCACTACCAATAAATTCAAAAGTAGAAACACCATCATCTTTTCCCAATTCAATTAGCATTTCAGATATTACACCAGTTAAACACTCTTCCTTATTAGTAATAATATCATCTTGGCGAGACCCTGAAGCTTTTGACTTCCCTTTTGATTTAGTCTTCTGATCATCAATACCAGTACTCAACTTGACACACAGATTTTTCAGACGTAAGAGATCATCCGTAACTCCAACTTCAACATCTCCCGGATCTAAAGGGAAGTACTTGGTTTTAAAAGCATTGGCATACGCGCTCACAGCAGTTCGGAGATTAGAATTAACTGATGGAGCCTCCACCGAACCCTGTGGAACACCACTACCAGAAACAGGATTCTTGTTTTCATCCAGTGAACTTCCATCCGGATTCATATTTCCACTGCGCCTTCTATAACGCCGAGTGCGTGATGAAGTTCCAGATGCAGAGTTATTATTCTTCTCAACAGAAGCAGCTTGGGAAGCAGAATTTTGGTTATCGGCTAAGATAAGCTGGTCAACAGCATAAACAACACCCTCTCGAAGAAACATCTTGGAAAATGTTTCAGGAAGCTTTTCCATAAGAATCTCAGCAATTTGGAGAGCAGGAATCAATATGTGTGGATCTTTCCACGCCAAAACACCCGCTAGAAAACTAAATCAAGAAATGAAAAGTTCAGTGCCACAACAAAAGCAAGCATAGAAATCATGCGGACTGAAGTTAACTACCTTGCTATATTAGTCACATTCAATAGCGATTGTATCATCTCTGGAGTGCTGAAATACATCAATTTTCCAATTCCTGAGAGACATTTATGACGTACTGGACCATTCACACTGGACCCATAGATCTACTTGACCAAAGAGCACAATTTCAGTACTAACTGAACCAGAAAAGATCTCTAAGCCTCTAAAAAAAGTACAATACTCTATACAGACCTGTATTAAAATAGGAAGGAGATCCATTCCAAACTGATGTAGGAGCTCAGGCTGATCCTTTAAGAGTTTCTCACGAGCTGAAACCTCAGGGGCACCATCAGTTGGATCTTCATCTTTCACAGAACCACTAGTAGAAGGCTTCTTGACGACAGGTCCTTTCACAAACGAATTAAAGTTGGGCGGAAAAGTAATGGTTCCTTGAGGCAGAGGGGGTAGAAGCTCATTTGCCAAGTTGACTATCTCAAAAATCTGAACATTGAATAGTAATCAAACTGTTAGAGGACAGGAAAAGACGTTAAACTCTCGACAATTTCCTAAATAAGAAACATAATGACCTCCAATATGTATTAGAGTACAACAGATAACTGTTGACGAAAAACAGAAGATTATGGCAATGAACATTTTTTTTAGTCACCAAACTATTTCAAGGAAATAAAAAGAGATCTACATTCAACCACATTTATCAAGATCCTGGACTCTTATTTGACAACCCTTACCATACCAACTAGTTCATTTTCCTTCTTTTCTTTTTGAAAATGAACACCTTTTATCAAATAAAAAAAAAAGATGCAATAGAGGACAAGAAAGCACTCCAGTTGGCACAAATAATATGGATGTGGTTGAAGAAAATGAGGTAAAGGGATGTGCTACTCGTATTTCATCCAAAAAAAAAAAGTGGTTGAAGAAAATTCCTTATCCAGGATGGGAATATAATCTCTTTCTAGGAAGACGGATGGGCTACTCGTATTCACTTAAATTGACTTACCCAAGAAACCGAACTATTTTCAAGGAAAAAAAAAATTAGTAACTGAGGCTTGGAATTGAGAAAAAATTTAAAAGATAAAAAGATTGAAGAATATGAGGTAAAGGGATGTGCTAGTCACATCTCAAATGAGTATTAAACTTTTACGGTTAGAGTACAAATGAGACGAAAAACCCAAAGGAACGACAAGAGTTGTTGTCCCAAGGAAAATGATTACCAACTATCGAGTATGATGACCTAGAAAATTAGCAGAACCTACCTGCTCTTGTGGTCTATTTAATGCAGGCGAATTGGTAGACACACCAGAACCAGACAATATATCTTTAAGAATCCCACTGATCCCAAGAAGCAGCAAAGTTTTTGCACCTAAGGCAGACCCACTTGCACAAGTGGAAAGAAGTCGGATTAATCCCTGCATAATTGTGAAAATACAATCAGTACCCTCAATCATATAACCGTCAGAAGATGAAAGGGATATAGAACTTACAGTATAAGTTGCTGAGCTGAGACTTGACTGTCCACCTCCGGTGCTACTAGTGGAAATAAGTGAAGCAGCTTGCGTAACAAGTCCATGATTACATAGTTCATCTAATTTATCAGGAGATGATGCAAAGGCCTCGGCAATACGGGTCAAACAAACAGAAGCATGCTCCAACACCTACCAACAAGAAATTCAGATAGATACAGATGGATGAAGAAACAAGAAGACTATCTCACATTTGCTGACTATTTTTCCTTTAAAACTTAAAAGAACAAACAACCATGTCGTACTAAAGATAGGCCTAGCAACCAAAAATAACCTCCAAAATCTTCAAGGAGTGAAAGTCAATTGTCATAAATAGAAGAAAAATAAACAGCAAAAGGAACATTACAAATAGGTTTGATGGCAGAAACTCACAAAGTGTAACAACCCAAGTCCACCGCTAGCACATATTGTCTGCTTTGGGCTTTCTCTTTCGGGCTTCCCCTCGAGGTTTTTAAAACGCTTATGCTAGGGAGAGGTTTCCACGCCCATATAAAGGGTGTTCCGTTCTCCTCCCCAATCGATGTGGGATCTCACAATCCACCCCCTTCAAGGCCCAACGTCCTCCCTGGCACTCATTCCTTTCTCCAATCGATGTGGAACCCCACCAAATCCACCCCCCCTTTGGGGCCCAGCGTCCTTACTGGCACACCGCCTCGTGTCTACCCCCACTTCGGGGAACAGCCTCCTCGCTGGCACATCGCCCGGTGTCTAGCTCTGATACCATTTGTAATGGCCCAAGCCCACCGCTAGCAGATATTGTCCTCTTTGGGTTTTCCCTTTCGGGCTTCCCCTCAAGATTTTTAAAACGCATCTGCTAGGGAGAGGTTTTCACACCCTTGTAAAGGGTGTTCCATTCTCCTCCCCAACCAATGTGAGATCTCACACAAAGAGATGCAAAAATGAGCCAGACTTCGGAGAAACCCTCCAGGGAAAACCACTCTCATTCCACTATAACTAAATATACACCATAAAAAGCAACGATTCTATCTACCAAAGAAACCTCCAATCTCAGATTTGTTAGCAGAGACTGCAGCCACTTACCTTTGCATCATGATACTGAAGAAGGTTGGTTAGCAGGGGAACAGCTTCCATCACAAAGTCGGCTGCATCGGAAGGAAGCTTCTTGCACATATTAGCAGCAGTTGACAATGCGACTCGCTATGATACAATTTCAACAAAATTATAGTAGTTAACAAGTAAATATAATAACTCTGACAGTATCCAAAATCCACAAAGCAGTAGGATCTACTGCCATCAATTACCTGGACTCCTGTGGAGAAGAAATCTAAATATGAAAGCACAGCCATAAGAGCACCAGCACGCAGGCAGGCAGTAGGGTGTTCCTGGGATATCTTCTTCAAAGCTTGCAGTGACTGTTGATAGAAAAACATGAACTTACTACGATTAGTACCATCATCTCAGACTAGAGAAAACATGAACTTACGGAATTTTGATGCATAACATACAAGGTGCATGAAACCATCATACAAGCAAAGAATACATATAAGTTATTAAAAAGAGGGGGACAGAGAGACGAGACAAGACAAGACAAGACAAAACTGTATAATCTACAAGTCAACATCCAGTCACATTTCCTCATGATCACCAAACTGTACAAGACAAGTTCGACGGGGATTGCTACCAATTTCAATTTGTACTCCCATGTTTAACAAGGACTAAGACGAATGTAAAGAGCGAACCTGTTCAGCTAAGTCCATGTATTCTATAGTTAGCAATCTCGCACAGAAGCAGGAAACAGCACCATAATGAACGACAGCAGCACACGATGAAGGCAGGACATCACACAGATGGGTTAGAGCCCTGGCCGCTAGAAGCATTATATCCGGATTGCTTTCGTGATTAAGTAACCCGACAAGGACAGGGACAAAGGAATCTACAGAGAAAGTACTTAGAGATTCCTCGGTGCCGATTGAGAGCATCTCACAAAGTTGTGTCAATGCCTCAACTTGCCTCCCTTCTTCTCCATCGGCTCTCAACCCAGACAAGATCTTCTTAAGCCGTCCTCTCTGCTGTGAGGAAGAAGCCGATGCAATTGCAGAAGAAGGAAGTAAATCATCCAGTCCAGCACCGAGTTTCCTCAAAAGTCCTTGAAGGGCGCTACTTGCCGTGGATAAATTATGCTGCAAGACTCCCATCCCTCCTTCACTGTCGTTATCGTCATCCTCTCCACCGCCACTGCCTTCAATATTTAGCCCAAAGCTTTGCTCCGCATTTTTTTCTCTATCCCCAATTCTAACCTCATGTTCTTTCTCCTTCCCCTTATCCGAATTTTCTTTATCAGAGTTCTTCCCTCGACGGCGTGACCCCGATGATTCATTGGTGGAGTCCATTGGAGTACTGGTGGCAGACGGTTCTTGGGTTCGAGTAGAGCGAGAACGCGTTGAGATCGAAAGAGTAGGTGCAGCAAGATTCAATGAGGAAGTACCAGAGAGACGAGCGCGCTTGCTAGAACGAGTAGTAGGACCAGAAGACGAAGAAGAAGGGGCTGCTGAGGAGGCCTCCGCCCGCTTTCTGCTCCGAGTTTCCATACAAAAACCCAAACCCTCAAATCGACGAGTCGCTCGCCACCGAGCGCCGATCACCCAGTTCTTGATTCGAATTTATTATGCATCTGACTAGCACCAAATTAAAATTTCAAAAAATAAATTAACAGCGAACTAGCTGAAACCAGCTACCTCCTGACAGAAGCCCCCAATTCGAAAACCCTAGATTCCCCTTAACCCAATACAAATTAAGAATGTGGAATCCACACCCCCAGAAACAATAATTCACGAATTGCTCATAAACCCTTGAGAGCATAGAAAGTAAAGAAATCAAAAACCAAATTTCACCACCTAGAACACGGCGGCCATGGAAATGTCAAGGAGAAATCGGAGAAACGCCGGTGATTGGATTGAAGCCTTTCCCAGCGTTTGAAATCTGAGTTCAAGATTGAGAATTACATAACAAAGATGTCCCCTGAAGGAATGGAGAAGGGGGAAATTAATGGGCAAGCCCTAGGGGGACGAAGAAAACGTAGAACAGGAAACGGGAACTAATCTTCCTATTATAGTACAGTGTGCTTGCTTTGGAAAGTAATTTTCCTTTTCTTTTTCTTTTTATTTTCATGAAAAATATAATTTTTATTTATTTAATTTCTTGTAAGATGGTGACATAATGAGCTTAAACATTTTGTCTGCACGCCGGTGATGGTGACTTCCACTAGATTATACCACCTCCCACCGCCTTGCTCCGCCGCCGACGTCGGAAAACCCCTTCAAAACTGCCACCTGTATTTCCAAAATTATAAAAAAAATAAAAAAATCCCCAAACTTTCTTAATTATGTATTTAAACTTTAAAATATATATATTAAAATTCATGATATTTAAAGTTTATTGAAAAAAAAAATACGCTTATAATTACGAACATAATGAAAAATTACATTAAAGTGATAAAAATAAACTTCTAGTGCATTTTTGAACACGTCATGTACAACTATCTCACATGGTGTAGACGGTGAAGAACTGGAAATAAGTGAACGGTGAGTAAGTCTCTTATTAGTTTTTTTTTTTTTTTTTTTTTT